GGGGCCTTAAGAGTTCGAATAGGGTTCGGGCTACACTAGATGCTGCTGTGTGAAGGCGTTCAGGACCCCAAGGAACAAGATAGGCAGCTACTCAGGGATCGAAATATGGCTTTTGGGGTGTCTTACCGGAGGCTTCAGCGGTTTGGAAGCGCTTGGACTCGGCTTAGACTTCGAATTGTAAGATAACGGGCAGGCTTCGGGGTGAGATTATCGGGATACGGTTCTGGATAGTTAGGGCCATAAGCCCTGCATCCTAAACCTGCAACCATGGAGTAAAACATGGGGCGGAGAGTAGTCCTACAGTCGTTCAGGGTTGGAGGTTTGAGGGCTTAGGGTTTCCATCGGCTACGACTCTTCCCAACAAAACGGCAGGTAGGGTTTAGGGCTTTTGGCTTACATAGGACCCTAGGTGATTACCGATTTGCCCTCCATGATTTCTTCTCGGGGCAGGTCGGCTATACGCACGCTATCCTCAGCCCTCCAGCCCCAACCGATTCAGCCGCAAGCCCTCGCTTTGATCCCGGAAGCCTAAACCCCAAACCAAGCCCTGCCGCAAAAAGCTGCGCCCTGTTTTTCCGAGGTTGGAGGAGCGCATTGCGAGGCTCGCACATCCCCGGGTCCACTCAAAAATCTGGCGCAACGGACCAAGTTGATCGGAAGCTAAACTCAACCCTAAACTCTAAAGCAGAAGGTCTGGGTCAGGGGTGTAGGGTTTTTGGGGATCTGGAGGCGTAAGCCAACCCTAGACCCCTAGACGTTTCAACCTCTGCGCTCACGCGCGAGGTGCGCTTTTTCTGGCCATTCTGGCCCTAACCCTCCGTCAACGAGTGTCAATCAGAGGGCAGCGACGAAAGCCTGAGCCGAACGCCTTATACATGAAAAGATCAAGTGACACTGTAACACATTTCTGTGGTGGGCAACCGGGGTATGTAATTCGGAGATCTGTCTCTATTCTCCTCCAGGGTGTGGTCAGGTTTCCGAGGTGTGTTGTGGGTGGCTTCCGCTGAATGGATTTGTGTGCGCTGTCATGTATGCCTAGCACGACCGCAACAAGCGGCAGGGTTGCTCTGGGATTCGTGAACATGTGAAACCCACGGCTGTAAGCGTCGAAACAAGCACCCGAATTTTGAGAAACACCTTATACAAAACCTTTCTAAACTCCTAGAAAAAGCTACTGGACTCGTGTACACGCTGAAGGACAGCGAACGCTGAAGGACCCTTGAATCGAGTATGGCAATACTAGTACTAATAAGCATAGCCAGTATTATTATGATAATGGCGGTACGGATAACAATAACAACAGTCATGATAACAAAAGATCAGCACAACTGGCATAAGAATACTATGAATAATAATAGTTAAACGAAGACGAAGCAGAAGAAGAATACAAATAAAGGTAATCCCATTCAGTAATGCCAAGTACAAAGATTAAGAATTCAGACACTCATAACCATATCAACAGCAAGTTCTACAACAATAATAACAATACTAATAATAACACTTATAACAACAATAACAATGCCAATAACAATTACGCTGCCGGTGATGATGATGATGATGATGATAGTATTCATAATGGTAGATACCTACGATTATTCAGGAACAGAAGGGGCGTCTGCTAGGTCTGCGCTTTTGCATAACATAAGGGCCTGAATACTTAGAATAGCTGATGCGGACCAGCTTTGGGGGTATGCTATACTGTAACTGTAACATTGAACCCCCACAACAGCATGAAATTAGGACCCTGTATTACTCCGTGCCCCGCAGTCTCGAGACATCATGAAAGCAGGGTGACTAAAGTTATAACCCATACAGTATTGGGTAACTAGATTTATAGCTCACATTGGGCAACTAGAAATATACACACATATATATATATATATTATTTATTATAAATATATATATATGTGTGTGTGTGTGTATATATATATATTATAGTATAGTATATATACATATATATATATATACATACATATATATATATATACATATATTCATATATATATATAATATGTATATATAAAGAATTCTCCGCACCGCCCTCTGGCTTCGAAGTTCCTGCTCTCAGACCTCGCCAGGCCCGGGTGCCGGGGCCTCGATCACCTGACAGGGCACAGTGGCAGTTGCTTTGACGCTTCATCGAAGCAGATGGAGACCAAGCTCCACGAACTTCTCATTGGCTTGAACTGTACGGGCAGTTGCAGGTCTTGGGCTCTTTGGATCGAGGGTCAGAGCTGGGAGGGTGCAGGGGCTTCGGGGTTTAGGGGCTTAGGGGCTTAGGGTGTAGGGAAAAGAATTATCGGGGTTTAGAGCGGGTTTTTGGAGAGGTGTTTGGGTGATCTAGTTCTTGATTGCAAGCAGCGAGTCGGGGAGCCTTTGGCGTGCCCTGGAACCTTTCTGAGATGTTGGATCTGCATGCTTCGGTTTCGTCTCCACACGACCTGATAAGCCAAAGGAT